AGGACAAAAAGTAATTTGAGGGGCAAGATTTCTTTCTATCTTTACAAATTGTTGTTAGGACACACAAAGGTCCACTGACGCCTGGAGGGATTTTTTCAAGCTGTTTTCTGGTTCTCCAACCCAACAGGAACGGATTGCCTGACAGTTTGTCAGCAAAGCATACCCTGCAAAGCTTCGGGCCGAGTTGGTAGTCGTAAATTCGTTGCTAGACCCCCGCTGAGGGAAAAAATTTTAGATACAGTAAGAATAAAAATGCGATTTGCTGTGGAGTGTCTTGGCGCAAGAAGAAAACTTTGTCTTTTTCACCAGGTTAAAGATCAACTACCTCATCTGAAAGCCATCGTTCAGTATAAAGGCGAGCTGCAGCAGAAAGCACCTTTCCTGTATACAGTACGTTCACTCAGCAAATACCTACAGCTGCACCGTCAAACCTTTTAATGCAAAATGATTATCTTTCTTACTTGTGCTCGTTATAAATTGCATTACACTAGTGCCGTATACGAGCTGCCAGTTCACCTTACAGGCTCAGTGCTGATTTTATTTACACATTTAATCATCCCTGTATGTCTGTAGTGGGCAGAGTTCATGAAGCTGGGAGAGGACTTGCCCGAGGAACAGCTGAATGCCATGATTGAGAGTCTTCGGGCCAACGAGTGCTGTACTCTCATCTATACCTCTGGAACCACGGGCAACCCTAAAGGAGTCATGTTGAGCCATGACAATGTGAGTTATTTAGACGAGATACATAAAACAAGACAAGATAGTTAAAATAATTTTCTGACGACTCCTCTCCCACTTGTTAATGTGCAGCTGACGTGGACAGCCAATGCTGCACTTTCCATGGCAAATATTAACCGTGCTGAGGAGGTGGTGGTCAGTTACCTGCCACTCAGCCACGTGGCAGCCCAGATGTTTGACATGTGGATGTCTATTAGTGTTGCCATGACCACCTACTTTGCAGAGCCTGACGCCCTCAAGGTAAGGATGCCTACTGTTGTATTTTATAAAATTGTTTATAAAACCAATAATGAAGGTTTTCTATTTTGACTATAATCACCATTTATTCTTTCAGGGCTCCTTAGTAAACACACTGAAAGAGGCTCGTCCAACTTGTTTCCTGGGGGTTCCTCGTGTGTGGGAGAAGATGCAGGAGAAGATGAAAGCTGTTGGTGCCAAGGCGTCCCCAATGAGGAAGAGGTTGGCAGACTGGGTCAAGTCCATAGGTCTGCAGTACAACTACAGTGTCATGAACGGGTGAGACAGCAGCAGGGATCCTTTGTTTGAACTCAGCAAGAACACATCAG